ACACCAAGCAGCAGCAGAACTGGAGGGGCTGCCTCAGCTCTATGCTGAACCACGCCCTTCTTTTTTCCTCGTAGGAGAACAGCAAAGTTAAGAGAAGTTCCTTCAAGCAGTGTCCATCTTACTCCATCCTCTGCAGGCAACAAGATTCAAGGAGAGCTCCTCCAATCCCACCCCTCCCAGTGTACCAAACACACAAGTCTTTTGCAAAAAGGATTTTCCACTAAGGAATTCACCATGCTATATTTGCATCAGCAAGTGACAAGCCCGGGTACCCGTGCAATTGGGAGACACTTAACATTTCACACTGCTCCAAGAAAGACAGGCTGGAAAGAGCTAGTGGCAAAACTTGAGGGCACAGGGACAAAAAGAGGTGAGGAGCGTCAGAGGGATGTTTTCTAGCCTCCTACCTTGTGTGAAGAAGTAGACTCTGGTGCCATCACCTCTCACATAGAAGTTATCAGACAGACATTGGCCTAAGGGCAAGAGGGATTTAAACAGTTACCAGCTATCATTTAAAAATCAACAACTGCCATCCAACTGCACGTAAAGACAAGAGGCACTTCTCCCAGCACATGCTGTGCTTAAGGGGAATTAATGAGCTGCCTCCTAAACAGGGTAGACAGTACTCCACAGAAGCATCATCTATTAGTGATCTCGCAAGACTCCCCAGGGGAAAAGAAAATACCTTTCTTAAACCGAAGCTGGGCCAGATCGTAACGGCCATAATCTCGTAACAAAATAATTCCTCCTGGTTTCAGAAGGCGACTCAGTCTGTTAACGATGCATTGCATCCTGAGGAAAGAACAAAACAGAAGTATTCATCATTCTGCAAAACGATGCTTGTTTCCTTAGCCTACTTTCCAAAAAGAAGGTATAAAGTTTTATATATGTTTCAACTTCATACAAAGAGCTACCACTTTTCTGAGCTCTCTCAGACTTAGGTGGGTTGATTTTATTTGGCTGTCTTATTTCTGACACTCCTCGATTCTGCTTTTTTTTCTACAACGATAACTTAGCCTGCCACAGCAGGGATTAACTGCTCTCTCTTAATAATTACAAAAGTATCTCCACTGGTTTCTGTAAAACAAGTGATAAGTGAACTTGAAAAATGCTGTGAAATAAAACCAAAGGGCACAAGAAAGAGAGACTAGTGTAGGTTGTAACACACTGTCACACTAAGATCACAGCACTTAACTGTCTTCTGAACCTGTCCCCTCCCTTCTTGCCACCTCCCATGTGAGAAATTCATGTAGCCTTTGAGCCTTAAAATTGAGCAGCGTACTTTCCACAAATGGGTGCCGAGTGCTCAGTGTGGCTGGGTTTCAGAACAGGTGAGCAACTGTGAGCACAGCAAGACGTCACCTATAGCCACTTCCAAATCGCACCTATCCTGTACCAGAATTTGTTACAACAGAAAGTACCTGCAAATTTCATTTTCAGAGGCTTAATGGAAAACTGGACCAGACACAGAACAAGCTTTAATTCTGCTTGATATGAGAGGACCTACTGTTAAGGAACTCCAGTTCTATATGCATTATCTTCTGCAACCAGAAGGAATTATTAACACTTACTTCTCTGGGAGAATCGCTGAGAGGACGAAGATAAGAATAACAACGTCAAGACTCACATCTGGCATTGGGAAAGGACTTTGGTCATTGCACAGGTCATGGACAAACGCAAAGCAGCGAGAAGAATCATATTCCGCATTGTTCTGTATTTAAGGGGAGAGAAATCAGAGCATTAGCAGCAGACCCTGATCTCAATATTATCTGGACATGGGAGCATTTTAACTTTCACATAATAAAGTGGTGTGTCCAGAGATCTGTTTCAACCTCACTGGACTAAGGCAGATGGGGTCAGATATGTTCCCGGGTCAGACAAGGAACAGGGGTGAAATGTGAAAAAGAAGTACACATGGGAGATTTACAAAGAGCTTTGGACTTGTTACATTCAGACTGCCAAAACCCCAAAACTGGACTGAGGGATTATTGCAATTTTAAGGTCAGATTTTCCACTAATAGTGGTAAGAAGTGAGGGATTTACACTGTTAAGCTGGAAATCTTTACAAAAGTGAGAGTGTCAGGGACCTTCTCTGCATCACTGAAATCAATATTCATTTCAACTACAAGCAGACTACTCCCTAATACCCCAAACATCAAACCTGGCTGCCTAAAGTTACGCTCTTAAAAAATCACATTTAGACTTCTAAAAGAAGTTGTGTATTTTTCTAAAGCTGCTGCTACAGATTGCAGTAGCCTCTGTAAACAGTGCTTGTGTCAGCTTAAGAGGATGAAATGGCATGCTGGCTCTGCTGCTGTGCTCCCCATCTCATCTCAAGAAGCAACTGATTACATTTGATACTTCATATATTCTCAGTTCTGTTCTGACCTGAAATTTGTTAGCAGTATCTGTCCTTTGACAAAATTCCAGCCTCCTGCTCCACAGACAACAGTGGAGCCCAACAGTATCCCTCCTCAGCTGTCTGTGCAGAAGCAATCAGACCACGTTCCCAGAACTGCAGTGACAGTAACGCACACTCAAACCAAAACCAGCTTCAGTTCCTGTTAAAAAAATAGTCTGAATGTTTTCAAGGTTCACAGCTAAAAGAGCACTGGATTTAGAAAAGTACTGCCAACCACAGGGGAAAGAAAATCTGGCTGACTTGTCTGCTGCCAATGTGACATTTTGAGAACTCCAACTTCCCTCATTTCTATAATCTTTGATGGCTCCTTTTCCTGATTTACCAGTACAAGGGTCAGCATCAGGGCTAGCTAAAAAAAGAAAGCTGCCAACACAGCTAGACAGCCGGTGGCAACTGTGATATATTTGTGTTAATGTGCAATTGGCACCATGTACTTCCTACCTTCATAAGTCACCACTGACTTTACCTGGACAAGATCCACAGCTGTTGTAGAAAAATCACAGCAATAAACAAAAAGGCCTGGGTCACTGAAATAAATAAAAGAAACTATCATCATTTATATAAAGGAGCTCCACAGGAATTAAGAAGTGTCTCAGAAACACAGAGCACAGAATTGGGAGCCAGAAATCCTGGGCTTTAGTCTATCTCTGTCAATAATGCCTTGTGCAAAATCTGGTGAATCACGTTGCTCCTTTATGCCTCAGTTATTCTGAAAAGGAGAGACACTAAGGCCTGTATGAAAATGCTTTCAGAGTGAGACATGTAAACTCACATCATGTTTCATTGGTTGTGTTCCAAGACCAAAGATTTCCAAGCTCAAAACACAATCATTTGAAGTTGCAGATGGCAAAGGTACCATTTGCATCTGGCCTTTCTCTGAGATTGTCTAAACTAAGAACACATGCAACACTTTTCCAATTGTTTTTCAGAGGCTGGTATATCATGCAGGTAAAAACCTACTGAGAACTACTTACTTGTTGGTTTGTAAAATTGGAAAGACTGTATTTCCAGCGCCACAGCCAACCTGCACAAACAAAGTAGATGTACACATAATGAAAATAATTTCTTCGGCATGTCCCATGCAGCTAATTTCAAATCATCTCTCTACAGCCACAGAACAAAGAGCAACTCATGAGTAACAACTGAGCGTAGCAGTGACCATTTGCAAATCTCACTGCAAGATCTGAACATGTTCAGCTCTGAGGAGCAGGCTTACATGTAAGCATTTGTGGGAAACCACTAAGCCAGTTCTTGTAGAAATCTTACTAACAAGCTATATATTGTTACTCTCTTGAAAACTGTTATTGCTGGAATCCCAAACATAACAATCAGTATGAGTCACTGAAGCATTGGCAAAGGCCATGGATTAATTGATTTCACTTCCATAGAAAATCAGAGCAACGGAGAAAGAAGTTTGCTCTACTATAATTACATCCTGCTGTTTCACAGCTTCCTTCACTAGATGGCTCTTCCTCAAGTTACAACTAGGCCTACAATGATTTTGCCTTATTATTCCTTCTACTTGTTCCCATTTGAAAAGAAGATGGCTCACACAACTGGGTTTGGGGAATTTGCCTCTGAATGTTTAAGGGATCAGTAAAATTGAAACAGACTGAGCAGAAAACACCACTGATGGCTTGCAGTGACAGATATTACTGAAGGTACTGAAGGTACTCAGGTGAGACAGGGAAGCCACAATGACCCAAGAACATCAAAGTCTGAGGAAGTCTCAAAGCCTCAGATTAAATAAAAAAAAAATCGAAAGGACAGTTCATATTGACTTTCCCTGAAAGGGCGGAACTTCCATAGAACATGAAGCATTCAACAAAAACAGCGATATCTACAGTGAACAAAATAGAGGTGGCAGAGCAAAAGGTCATTACCAGCTGTCAGGAGTCTAATATTCAGAAGTCCTACAGACTTTTCTGGGACAAACCCTGTACCAATCTGAGATTCCCCGGTATTACACGGGCCATAAGGAACAAATCAAACAGCATCTTTACATTCTTGGTTTCGTTGTTTTGTTTCACACCTCCCAAGGCAAACAAGGGTCAGCACAAACATGCAAAACATAAATGACAAGGGAAAGCTTTATACAGACAAGTAAAAGAATCAGCTTCTTCAAAAGATGACTTTTAAATGCTTGTTTCAACATCTGATAGTAATAGTTTGTCTTTTAAACTCGGAAACTTCTTATGGTCCTTGTGCTCTGCCAATTCACAGTCTGAACCAAAAGAATCCCAACAGATCTAATTCAGTTATAAGCTACCCTCTGGTTTTTACATTTTACTGACTTAAGGCAATCATCCCATTCACTTGCTGTTTGCCAATGACACGTATTTTTATGTCCCAGTCACACTAACACTGATACAGGGGACTGTTTGATGTGTGACTCTCTGTTTTACAACTATTACCTCTAATATACGGTACGATGCAGATGATCCTGGGTAATCTCCATCACTTTGATTCTGCTCACTATACTTCTGTGTAGCCAGCTCCTCTGTGCAGATCTTAGATGTGCTTTTTATCAGGTTTAACTGATTCTCTGCCCTGGTTTCCAATGAACAATGTCCATTTTCACAGCTTCCCAGCCCTTCATTGTTGGATTCTTCTTTGTTACTAAATTCACGCACAGAATCCCCATTTTGACTTGGGTTCCTGTTAGGTGCCAGCTCAGGAAATTCAGTGAACAGCCAGTGCCTGTCCTTGAAGAAGCCATTTTCGTGGATTTTATAAAAGTCATCCCAGTACCTCTTAGCATTCACCTCATATTCCTCTGTGAACACAAACAAAAATGTCCCCAGCAGTCAAATCAGAAGGTCTCAGAGTTTAATCAGTTCAGACAGTGAGGGATCACTGCAGGCATCTATTCAGCAATCTGCTTTAATAAGTAAGGTTATTGATTGAAAATCACCTTTATTTAAATCATGCCATCCCACATAAACACTCAGCCTGCCTTCTCACAGCCACTTTGTTAGGACTAGAAAAGGGAAAAGAGATAGAAGAGGAAACTGTCTGTCTCCTGGTAGGATTAAAAGGAAGCTGGCAACAGAAAAGGCTTCTTTGAAGGAGACTGGAGTGAAGAAATCCAGGTTTTACTTCCATCTCTAACACTAACTTGTTCAGTCCACTGGAACAAGTCATTTGGAGCTTCGTGATACTAAGTGTCAAGCACTTACAACTTCTAAGGAATTCCATGACAGTTGCCTGGAGCTGAAGAGCTCCTGTCCAACACGCTACCCCTTTTTTCAGATGGAGAAACAGAAAAATTAGTCAACTATACAGGCCTGGCAGAAAGCTCAATTAGCATTTGTGCAATACTCCAAGATTACAGGACAGCATGTTTTACACAAGTATTGCTAGAGTCCAGTCTACAGCACTTTGTTTTCCATAGTTCTGTGCATGTTAGAGCATCACACGTTTATGAAATTAAAACAAAAGAGGGGAATCAACAGAAGTGACCACTGTCATTAAAGTGACAGCGAAGAGCTAAGGTGGATAGACTAAAGATGAAAATAATTAACTTTAGCAGCAAGCATTATCATTTTCACACCAAGTGGATACATTCCAGTAGCAAGATGGGTATTACAGAAAGCTGGAAGAACTCTTAAAAAGCCATGATCTCATGAAATTCGAGTCACCCATAGAATTATTTCGACACACCTTCACAGATTTCAGATCAAGTACAGTTGTAGTGGAACTATTTTTTCCATGGGAAGTTATGAATCCAACTGGCTTCCTGAATTCTCATCAATGTGATGAGTTCTCTGCCCTGGGAAATAAGAACTAATTATAGCATCCTATGCTTGTAATCACCTAGAGGCATTAACATCCACGGCCAGCGATCCCAACTGCATTTCAATAACATGCAACTCCTTAGCCATCTTTGCACAGCAACAAGTGCATTACTGAACGCAAATGATTCTCCCACAGTCAAAGATGACGACTGTATGTGAGAATGGATAACCTCTCTCCAACATCTACTAAAAGTAGGGTTAAGAGAAAAAGCAGGCATCTTGAAATTGGAGATTAGTATTATCTGAACTGCAGTTTATTTATTAGTCTTTCTGAAAAGCATACAAGTGTTTAGAAGACATCTGAAGGGAGATAGTAAAATGAACCAAGAACACCTGGAAAAATATGTAGCCTCAGCCAAATATAGACAAAAATGGCTTTAACAAAGAACCAGAAGTCAGTTGTATGTATATTTTTAGTAGGATCTACCCCTGAAGCACAAAGAGCTATATATAAAAATAATCTCTTTACCTCAACTACAAGGATTTTCTCCTTTTAAGAAGCCTTGTCCTTAAACCCCAAGCTGAAAGAAGTTTTAATGTCTGGTATTAAACTAGAGCAGTAAGTTTGTGCCATGATCTCACCGTAGCTCAAAGTTAGCAGGGTCAAGTCAGTTTACTATTTGCATAGGAGAATTCAATGACTGCTAATGTCAGAGGAAGAAGTGTTATCGATTCATACCCTGACGCACTCCTTCCTGAATTGTCACTTCTTCCATGTACTAGTAGGGATATGCAAGGCTGCTGGGGCTGGAAATGCTCTTCCACCTAACAAAAATGAAAAGTCCT